CTTCTTCTTTACAACTTCTGAGTCACTCTCTACAGACAGTATTTCCCCTGGGCTGGTTCTGCAGGCGCTGCCCAGAGTTCCCCTGTACCCAGGCCCTGGCACCGCAGAGAGACCCGCAGAATTCTGCAGGTCTACTCTGCCTGCCACGTGTTGCAGCTCCAGGGCTTACAGTGCCCGGAGTTGGCATGATGCTGCCGCTGGCTTCATTTTCAGACCACCACACCTTTCCAAGGCGTTAATCTCTGGGTCTGAACATTGCCATGCTGAATCTGTCCTCACGAGCGAGTATTTTTAGAAGCTTTGAGCTCAGACCATGTAGTCATTCCTGAGCTATGCCAGGAGGAGAAGAAAACAACCACTTCTGCTCGAACAATACCAGCACAGAACAAAAAGCCACTGCAAATGGGGATTTTCAGCATCACTCAAAGCTAGCCAGGCTTTGAAAGATGAAACTTGCAGTCAAAAGAAAAAGCTTCCTAGTGAACAGAAAGGGCTTTGACAATTTACTTAAAAAGTCAGATTAAAGCAAAACGATGTTATATAAGTACCAGTGGGCGTGCCGGAGCTTGCATGCGACACGGCGCTCCGTCTCCGTCACAGCGGCTGTGCTGGCCAGGCCCAGGGCGTTCGATACCTGCCCTCTGTGGTGTGGCACGTCCCTGCGGTTAAAGCCACCTGCAGGGAAACGAGCCTTGCTGGCTCTGTGCCTGCGGCAACAGGCCCCACAGGGAAGTGTTATTGCCTCATGGTGGAACAAGAAAGTAACCTCGAGGGATGCAGCTCCTCTTTGTCCCAAGGCGGTGAAAGCTACGTGTGTAGAGCGGGCCAGGACAAACACCCTCTCGCTGTCAGCTGTGTGTGGGACAGTCACGGAGGAGTTGCAGCCATAAGGCTGGCCGGAGGTCACCATCATCGTTGGAAACCACCGAAATCTCCGGTGCCTTTTGTACTCTCTGAAAAAACTTGAAGTGGATGTTTCTAAGGACTCTTGCTTCAAAAATATCCTGTGTTTCAATATTGCTCAACCTCTGCTCAGAGATGGGGCTGAGGTGCCTTCAGCAGCAGAGGGATGAGTAGCATGTGCCAAGAAGGGCACAGCGAGCTCAGCCTTTCCCTGAGCAAACAGGCTGGTTCCTGTCCTCTTCCATCATCTGCTACAGCTACTGGGGACATCTGGAAGCCCCAGAAACTCCTGGCACTGTCCACAACCAAGAACAAGAGTGTGTGAATGGATAAACATATAGGTAATGTGGAGGGACATTACTTCACAGAAGCCACAAGCCACAGAGGAAACCCAGTCAATGTCAGTGCATTTTTATAGTGACTATTTGGATTATGAGGGGTTACATAGGTGATGTGGGCAGGCAGGAGGTTGGGTGCTGCCCTGTTGCCCACATCTTCCAGCTCTTCTCTGCCCATAGGGCAGGAGCAGCTCCAGCGTCCCCATCTGGCCTCTCCTTGCAGGACCGGTTCCCCCATTTCACTACCCGGCAGGGACCTCTTGCCACCAGGAAGGCAGCCACTGGGTTTCTCCTCGCTCCACCCCTACTGGGATGTGGAGTGTTGGACTAGATGACCTTTAAAGGTCCCTTCCAGCCCAACATATTCTATGATTTTCAAGCTCTTCCTGGAGGTCTCTGGTTTCCACCCATTTGGCTCCTCTGGTTGTAAGAAATTTGGGGGTTCCCCTGCTGCTCCTGCCTACAACCTTCCCCCGATGGTGGAATGCACATTGAGGAAAAAAGCAACCAGGCAAGGCTCAGCACAGCAGCACCCCTCTGGCATCATGCCCAGCCTGTGACTATGACTCTCAGTGTGAGTTGCAGCCTCTGTTTTTTGCCTGAGAAAGTTTTTAAGAGGCAAGGTGTTGCTGAAGTTTCAAAGCTGCAGAGGCAGAGGAACTACGGAGCTCACGAGCAGACCCCATGTCCTTGAGAAGAGCAGCAGGAAGGCACACGTGTGTGCTGATGGACTTGAGCCTGGGTAGGTTGCAGGGGCAGGACTGTGTAAACAAGTGATCTAGTTTGTTTTTTGTCTGGAATTCAAGCCTGCAGTAGTTTTCTTATCTTTTTTAGTGCTTAGGATATTGCAGCTGAGGAAGCTCTTACTCTTTAACTTGCAGGAAAGCTACACTCACAGCAAGCACTAAACACAATTCAGCAACAGTCTTGAACAAGGCTGAGTTTAACATTGCTGCTAACAGCCTTGCAGCGCTGGAGAATTTTATTACCAATTCGGTCTGGATCCTATAATTACTTATTTGAGAAAAATGAGGTGGTGTTGGGTGGGGGCGTAAGCTCAAAGCAATTAACAAACTGCGAGGGCAAACAGCCTGGCTGGGCTGGTGAAAGGTCCTGCCTAGGGCAGCGTTGGTGGTGGCCATTTCCCTGTTGACATGGAGCCGGTCTTTGTTTTGTTCTTTGCACAGGAGGAATCATATAATACGTTGATAAAGCAAAGGATTTACTGTCAATGCTGGGTGGCCAGGCTGCTGAAGCCAGACCTCATTGAAGCCAAATGCGGCCAAAACCATCCCCTTCAAAGCCATAGAATACCAGGTACGCACAGCCTGTTGTGTGCTGCCAGCCAGGAAACCTGAATTTTCCATCCTCTACCAGCACCTGAAGCTGGTCTCAGCATAGCGCTCCCAAGGAGAGAAGGCAGAGCAGCTCTCCCTCCTTGCAGGCGTTTGCTGTGGCCCAGAGCAGTTAGAGGTTAACACGGAGTTCATCAGGCACAAGTGTCTTGGGGAAAGGAGCAGCTGCGTTAGGGCTCGATGCAGAAATGACTGGAAAACCTCCGCTTGCCTCGAATTGGGCACCTTAGGCAGAACTGTGAAGGCAGAGGCACTGCACCTGGCCTTTGGGGGTGATCTTGGTGTTAGGTTCAGAACGTACCTGGGGAGGGAGAAGCGGCTTCAGCTGAGCTTTGCTCCCCTTGGGAAGGCACTGATTGCCAGGTCCTCTTAAAATAGCAACCAGGAAGCTGAGAAAGCTGCTTTAACGTAGGCAGGCTTGGGCAGGAGGGAGCAAATGCTTAACAGATCAGAGGAGCATTCAACATGCTTAACTCCAACATGGAAAACTGACTGTGTCCTTTGCTGCAGTGAGCAGAGAGGACACATTTTCCCAGCTGACATGAAAAAAAAGCAGCTGCTTCTGAGGAATTACCTATTGCTTCAGCTCTCTTCTCTTGGGAAAGCCCAACATCGCATTCAGGTGGCACACAAATTGCCAACTTTTTAACCACTACACAAATACACTGCTGGTAGTGCTTCCCACCTGCTCCTCCTCTGTTATTAACAGCAGCTGTGGGAATCCCTGAAGCCGCCCCCAGCAGTCAGCAAACAGGGAGCTGAACTAAAATCCTGCCACAGAAAACATCTTTGCACTTTGAGCCCTATCCTGCGGTAAAAACTTTGCAAAGCGCTCAGGGAATCTCAAGCTGCCCCTAAACCCCTCCTTCTCCTCTCCCCCCATTACGCTGTTTCTGAAGGAAACGCCACAGGGCACCACATATGCGGGTCTTCAGCGTTTATCTCAAAGAAACAGTTGCGGCTTTCACATAATGCACCCTAAAATGTGCTGGCACTTTAATAGCTTAATGGCACCTCAGGTCCACTTTTCCTTAGAAGGAAGTGATAAAATAGCTAATTTATACTGCCCCTTAATTACACAATGCAAAGTCACTGTGTTTTTTCCTGTTCTGTAGGATGGTGAAGCATGAAAGTCAACTATTGTCGGGTACGTGACGCTGTTCCCCTAGTTTTCCTGCTTGTGCAGGAAAATGGAGACAGTCTTTACTAGAAATGTTTAGAGAACAGGAACACCGAAACTGCAGGGCAAAGTGCCCGGCCTGAAACATGAGGAGGACATGAGCAGCATAGCTTCTGTGGTTTCCCGTATAAAATAAAACCCTGTTTTTTACTGATCCTAACTGACCAATAGTTCTTTACCGAATTACATCTGAGTGACATCACCTCTAGCAGCATGTGGCGGAGTGAGACCAGCCCAGCTTGGATGAGGAGGTGCCCATGTTGGGTGGGGGGAGCCCAGCACCACCTTGTGCTGCTGCCCAGGTCCCAGGGGTGATGGAAGCAGGTGGGAGCAGCAATTCTCGCAGCCCTGCAGTTGCAGCAGGACGCACAGCACTCGGATCGCCACTCTCCTGCTCCTTCAAACATCATAAATTGTTACTGCAAAGGTGCAGGAAAAAAAACACAACAAAACAACCTGCCTTGCTGCTTGTAACAAGCTATGCCAGGGAGGTGAAATGGAGCAGAGCCAAAGCAGAGTTAAGCATGATTGAAGGAAACAGAAGCTGGGAAGGAAAAACAAAAAAAAGGCAGCTCGTACATGGTTATTAAGTGCTCACAATGTTCTCATGCAGCTTAGATAAGCAAACTGGAATTAAGCATTACAGTAGGCATCAGCCCCCGTGCCGAGAAACACACAAGGAGGCTGACAGCACTCAGAAGCCAGGCTTGTTGGAAACAGGTGCATATGGAGAGGAGGAGGAAGAGCTGGGAAATGCTGAAGGCTGCTCACAACGCAAGCACACCACTGCCTCCCTTAGTCTAAAGGTCAGGGCTATTAAAAGTGAACTGGCTGCCTTTTGGCAGGGCTCACCTGTGCGAGCAATTTAATCATTCACACAAGGGAGAGGGAGTCTCTCAGGCTCCTCAGGCAGGAAAGGAATGACAAGAACATGGGGGAGGGAGCACAGCTCAGGCTCCTCTGTGCATAGGAGTGTCCTTACTCCAGCATCTTGGGTCCAGCAGCACCCAAAGTGGGTCCTAGAAGCAGCACTGAAAGTCCTGTGAAAGTAATCCACTTGTTTGTTTTTCAGCACATTACCTTTCAGTAGGGATCAAGTTGTACCTTGCACTCTTCATTGTTAGAAACCAGCGGCTGTGCTGGCCCTCTCACCTCTATGGACAGACAAGGGACTTCCCAGTAATTTCTGAGAATTAAGCTTTATTCTCCAGCTAGACAGCAGCGACCGATAAAGTTCTCTTTATTACAGACCTACAAAAGGAGATCCATAAAATAATTCTTTCATATAAAATTACGATGGGAGCCCATGGATTTGTGGAGGAGTTGTACCTGTCCCAGCGACACGTTTCACAGACAAGGAAGAGGCATGCTCAATTTTAAACAAACCCACCCAGGGCAGGTATGTACCGACATCTTTTGCAGGGAGCAGCTGCCCTCTGCTCTGGGCTATCAGATGCTAGGCAAAGAGAAAAACAATGCTCCTCTTAACGCAGCAGCAGCAGCTCTGCACGTCAGCAATTTGCTGATAAACACAGGCTCCTAATTCCAGCTGCATTCCCCATTTTGAGAAAAAGCAGCCCTGCTCCTCAGCACTCTTTACAACTACTGCTGCTCCAAGAGAAGGAAGGAGGGAGAGGGAAGGGTTACAACACTGTCCATCTCCTAAAAACCCCAAACCAGCAGAATACCCCAGGTTGCATAGGACAGGCAGTTCACGTGCCCCTCAGCTCTCCCAGGCAAGGAATGCACAAGGTGGACGTGTCCCAGAGGCAGAGGTACAGCCACCCTTTCACTTCAGGCTCCGATGAGTTTCTTGAGGAATGCCTCCAGCTGATCCTCGTCCTTTATCCCCACAAACTTATCCACGACATCTCCATTCTTCATAGCCAGCACGGTTGGCACCGCTGACACCTGGAGGCAAGAGAAACAGGGAGATGCAGGTGAGCAGAGGCTGCGGGGAGCCCGGCTGCACCCAGACTCCAAATGAAGCTCTACAGAAGAAGTGTCTACAAGGGTAAGATATCTGTTCACAAAACAAAGGCCAGCTGAGCTCCACATTGTTCCTCTCCATGTCACCTCGTTTCTGCACTGATATTGCATTGCTTAAGGCTGAGCAGCTTTTCAAGTTTAAATAACGCTACAAATTTTAAAGACAAAACCACAGCTAATGTAAAAACAAGGCAAAGCTTTTCCTCCTTCCTCCAGTACAAATTCCTCTTCTCCTTCCTTTTGTCCCATTGTAAGCAAACAATCCCAGCGTTTTACCGTGACACTTCTCCTCAGACATGACAACCTTTGGACATTTTATGGCCAGGGTGGGATCAGACTGGATTTGTGCTCTTCTCCAGACAGGACTGGAGCTAGAGGAGAGTCTCCATTATCACAGCACTGGGAGATTTCCTGCTCTGTCCTGTCGAGGCAAAGGACAACCCCCTCCAACCCTTCTTTCCTTTTCTGCTTGTGTGTTCAGTGGTTAGCTGGTCACACACCAGCGGCTGCCCACTGCCGATCCCTGATGATTAAGCAAGAAGTGAAAAAGTCCGTCTGACCAGAGCCACCAGGCAGCTGTGCTGCTCCAAGCACTGCCTTTTTAGCTCAGAACAAAGTTCTCTGGGAATTATCCAAGAGAACAGTGGTGGAAATGACAACGCTCCCCAGGGATGTGCTGGTTGATCAGTGACAGAAGAGCTCCTGGGGACACAGTCAAAAGAGGGAGTGACCAGAGCTCAGAGAGCTGTGGCAGTGGAGAAAGCTGGTCGTGTTTCTGATTCCAAAGCTTCAGTGCCCTCATCACTGCAAAGCTGCCCTCCCCAAAACACGTCCCATCCTCCCCGCCAGCCTGCGGGGCCTTCCCGCCAGCCTGCGGGGCCTTCCCGCATGCGCTGCCAGCAAGAATCTGCAAATCCCTCCTCGGGAAACCCGCCAGAGGGCTGGCTTTTCTCCCATCGGGAGCCTGAGATGAAAGAGGCATTTTGTGCTTCCCTTCCCACCCGGTCCCAGCCGGCCAGGGCAGTGTGGCTCCCCGCAGTCTGTCCTCCAGGGCTTGGGCAGGCTCCTCGGAAAGGAAAGGAGCTCCAGGGCTGCTGCGACGCACGATCTTCAGCTCCTCCTAGTGACTGGTGGGAGCAGATCCGGAGGGTTCCGGCCTCAGCACTAGCAATGGTGCCACCTACATGCTCCGTTGTGATTTTAGGGGCAAGAGAAGACTGTACCAGCACTGCACTCAGCTGCCTTCTCCCTCCCTGAGAAGGGCAAAGCTCCATTGAGCCTCCCTCTGGTTTGCAAAGAGGGTTAATGACGAGCCTTGATCCCATCATCTCTTCTCTGTTTCGTGCTGGTGAGCAAATCCTGAGAATGGGTGGCAGGTCTGGGGCTGGCGCTGCAGAGCTGGGGGAGAACTGAGTGCACAAAGCAACTTGCCTCTGCCCAGAAAACACAACACTTCTAACAGCTTCCTTCCCATAGCTGCAACAGGGGCAGCCCATTAACAGAGCACATACTTTGTTTTGCTGCTTGAGAAGCAAATGTCATGGGAATTTCTAGAATGCAAAGTTGAGGCCTTCTTTTCCCCTTCCCCCCCTACCCCGAGTCCCATCTGCACTGAACCTAAATAAACTCTCCTTCTCCCCCAAGAGCATTTCTAGAGAAAAAGTCAGGCTGCTTTCGATCAGTGCTGACCACACGGATAAATAAACGCGGTCATCCAGGCTATTCCTGGCAGCACCCGTACCAAGGGAATTCTCTCCCATCTGAAAATGGGACTTCTATGGAAGCCGTGCAGCAGAGCAGGGGGAATAACTTCACTCAGGCTTCAGAAGGAGGCGTGACACGGGACCGAGCTCCGCTTACGAACGCCCATACCTGTATCCAGCAGCTCTCCCAAGCTGCCCACCCGCAGCGGCCGGAGAAGGGGCTGCCCTTTCCCAGTGGCCACACGCGTGGGCAAGGGGCCAAGGCGAGAGATGAATCTAAAGAATTTTAAGAGACGGCAGATTAAACAAAAGTATTCCTTCTCCCTTTCTGCTCTCAGGGTGAGAGGTCAGGAGCCAGCCTGAGCAGCAAAGAAAGGCCTCGACCAGAGATGAAAAGTGTTAGATTAAAGGAGGAGTCCCCAGAGAAAAACTTTTGTGTTGGGCATAACCGGACAGGGAAGGGCACTGGGGACGTTTCTTGTCGCAGGAAATGCATTCCTG